AGTTCGTTAAGAGCTCGCTCAAGAGTTTGAGCTCTGAGCAACAGCAGTTCGAGTCCCAGCCTGAGCTAAGCAGCCGCTGAGCTGCCAACAGTGGCAGGGTGGCTCAGCTAAAAAAAAAAAGGTAAAAATGTCTTAATATTTTATGAAAACAATTTTGACTTGACTCCCAGAATCCCCAGTTAGAAATTTTAAAGAACTACAGCTATAATTTATCAAATGTGATTAACAAACACCCAAATTCTGTCCTCATGTTTCTGTAAGTTTTAGCTTCTAAATATAAACATCAGTGTGTAGATGAAAAATTATGATTCTATTTCCATAAGCACAACAGTACTTTGTGTCCACTTACATATGATTTTTTTAAAGCTTTTCATAAATATTTCTTTGCATCCTTTTGAACATTTAAGCTACAGATAACACAAGGAGTTTAAATAATTATCAAAACACTCTCCTGCCTGCATCTTCACCAACCAAATTTGTTTCTAAAGGAAACTGTTACATGTTGAATTATCCTGATTGGCTATGCACTGATATTACTCTTTAAACTCAGTGTTTACATGAATTTTAGTACTTATGCTGCAGTAAATTCTGAAGAGTAATTTCTTAAACACATTTTCAAGTAAATTTTTTAAAAAATTAATGCCATCCTTCCAGTTTTACTTCAACACATCTCTTCAGATCCTGCTAAACTTTTTTCAAACTACTGATCTTTTCAAGATTGATACTGGATATTCCAATATATATTAAATTAGGAGATTTTCAAGTTCAAATTTCACAATGAAGTTTGACAAACTAAACACATTTGTTTTGTCAGTAAAAATACTTAGGCTAAATTTCCAGAGACATTTCCCCCTTCTATTTAATAACTACAATAAAGTAGTACAAAACTTCTAGTGACCCTCTTTCTCCATTCTCAAAAAGAAGAGAGAAAAAAGTCAAGGAAAGCATACTCGCAATTAAGAAGGCAGAATATTTTTAAACGAAAATCTTCCAGAAAATCCAGACGATATGTACACAATATTTTTTCACAAATGTTAAGTAACATTCGTTTTTCCTAGACATTTATTTTTCTTATAATAAGCTCTACGCACGCACGCACACATACACACGAGCCTAAATTATTAAATAAACTATATCACAGTCATATTCAACATCTAGACATGGCCTCAAGTTTCAACATAGCACAAAGGCTGGGTAAAAGAAATTAACCTCCCGTTTTACACAACAACAATCTTAGAAACATTCACTCACACTGTGTAAAGAAATATAAGAAAAAGAGAAGCCTTCACTTTCCATTAAGTATTTCTGAGCCACTCATAATTTTACAACTTTAAAAGTTGTTAGAGGTCACCCAGTCAATCCTGATGAGGCCTCAAAGAGGTTAAGTCACTAGTACAGAGCTAGTTTGGTGAGAGCCAGATGTAGATACTTAACTCCTGACTTCAGGGTGAAGGCTCCTTCTCATATATCATGTTGCCAATGAAAGTCTTTACCACAAAAATATTTTGTACGTTAAAATAAAAGTGATTTTTAAATAAATAAGCTGATTTACTTCATTCTTTACTCAAATTCATCTGACAGCATAAATGGTGATAAGAAACTGAAGCTGATAGCTAGTCAATGATTATCAACTTTAAAGGAGGAAAATAAAAGCAAAAATATATCTTCTAGTACCTTAACATGTAACAATAGCAGTGGTAATAGTGCTTTATACTTGCTTAGAAATAGTTATGCTAACAATATTCAACTTAAACTTACCTCCTCCGTGAGTTCTCCTAAGTATGTCATTCTACACTAATCAACCCATCATAGCAACCATTGTAGTTATATTAACATTTATATATTTATATATTATATAGATTTTCATTCTGTCTCCTCAGACTGTAAAATCTCTGTGAGGAAGAATTATGTCTAACACTTGATGACTTCCCTCAAGGGAGTAAAAAGGCATCATTCTGCCCATTATACAAATACAAACATTTCAAACTACTCTCCCAACATCACTGCAAATTGCCAGCAATGAAAATTTAGATTCATGGTTCATTTTCTGGGCCACCTTTCCTCCCAAACTTTTAACTCACTGAATAAATCTTGGGTAAATTAGCAAAACTGTCTCAAGTTTCCCTCTAAAATAGGGCTTGTAATTATAAGGAGCTTCAGATTACATGAACAAGATTGAGGAATTAATTTGAAAACAATTATGTGTAAAGCATTCTTTAAAGGACATTATAGCCATAAAGGAAACTCCAATTGTAAGGTTTGTACGTACTAAAGAAATGCAATAGGGCTGGAAATCGGCATTTAACTTAAAAACAAAACAAACAAACAAAAACAGCCTTAACAATGGAGATAAATTTTCGAACTGTAGACTGTCTATACCAACGGTTCTCAACCTGTGGGTCGCGACCCCTTTGGGGGTCTAACACCCTTTCACAGAGGTCACCTAAGACCATCGGAAAACAAAAAGATATTTACATTACGATTCATAACATTAGCAAAATTACAGTTATACAGTAGCAACGAAAATAATTTTATGGTTGGGAGTCACCACAACATGAGGAACTGTATTTAGGGGTCGCAGCATTAGGAAGGTTGAGAACCATTGGTCTATACTGTATTCACTCCAAGCAAAATATCTGCAAGTCACATACAGTTTGACTGATAGTTCCAAAAGCTTATGAAAAAACACCTTCCATCGGCAAAATTAAGCCTTCTACCTTTACTATATTTTTCAAAATTCCAACCACAGGGGTTACTCTAAGGTACTCTCTGTATGTTCACAACCACTGGGACTATTTCTTGAAATGCAGTTTAACACTCAAATATCACTGACCCAAATAGTAATTTAAAGCCCCCAAATTCCTTCCTTTAATTCACATTATGTTATTAATGGACTGAACATACACAAAGGAACCAATTTCTCCGTGTACTCTCCCTCTTATTCACTAATAGTTTAGTCCTTGCTCTGATTAGAAAATAACTGTCTAATGTGTTTTAATCACTACTCAGTGAAATTGTGATTTTTCTTTAGTACCTTTGAAACGTTTAGTATTACATTTTATAGAAAAGCTAGTCACTCATTATGTGTTATACAATACATATGATTATGCTATTCCAGATTTTATTTGAACTTAAAGAGTTCTGTTAAATTTAGAGATACACATATATTCATGATTCCTCCAATCGAACGGAATCAGTTTCACCAACCAAACTACTAATTTCACGTTCCTAACTAAAAACAATGGATGGAAAACAGGGTAAGATCTTCTACATTACTTTTTGGTGACTATTTCCCATCTTCCAATTCCCATCGATGGCGATATGAAATAGAACCCGAGGGCAATAAAGTGTATCTTCTTTATTACACTAAGTAAATAGGATTCAAGCACTGCTACATCAATTCTGGGCCCTCCCTGCGCTGTCTATTAAGTAAAGCTGCTTTTTCTGTGTAACTTAAGTCCGTGCCCTTCCGCTGCAGCAGTGGCGCTGCACATCCCCCACCCCCGCGGCCACTTCCGTGTTTACACTCGTCTTCCCTCCAATTCCATGCGTACATTGTCAGCTTCACTCCCGCCCAATCTTCATTGGCCCAGCGCGGGCCCGGAGTCCCGCCCCCAGAAATCAACGTTCTCATTTGGAACATCTCAGAGAGCAGATTGGAACCAGAGGCCTGTCAATCCCGTCCGTTCTGTCCTCTCCGAAGCGCTTCCGCTATGGTGGGAGGTTTGGGGGGGAGGGGAAAAGGGGGCAATTCTGTGCTGAGACTTCCCTGGGGCCAAGACTCCCTCCCGCCGCCCCACTCCTTTACATTCACCCACTGTTTACAAAAATAAACGTTCTTCGCTGACGCCCCAACGCTCCATGTCAGGGGTACAAAAGATATTCCGTGTCCTTCCCATTCTCCCCCTTAAAAAAACAACCCACGAGGAAAAGGGGCATAAACCTACTTCTCCACAGCCACCCATTAAATGAGGAAAGGGAGGCGGGCTGCAGAGAAAACCAGCATCGCGGGCTACTCCACATTAAGTGACCCTTTCCAGAACCGTTACTCCTGAGACTGCACAAGGTGGGGATGTGAAGGAGGATCAGAGCATTATTTTGGCGGGTAGCGTTCTACCGGACGTGGCCCGGGGCTGCCTCGTCCATGCGGAAGTCATGGATCTGTGTACCAAGTGTGAGCGGAGATGTAAGCGGGGGCGGTGAGCATTCACCGGAGAAGCCCGCCGCCCCAACCGCGGGCAGCAGCGGCCTCTCCGTCCAGACAGCGTGGCAGGCGCAGCCGAAAGACAACAGCCTCACTCACTTCCTGGTTCCTCAACAACTGGGGTGAAGCGCACAACTCGTCCGCCCCCGAGTCCCCAACTTAACTGCGGCTCGATTCTCCAGCAGCCGCTGCCAGCGCTCCGCCCGCAGCTGCTGCCGCTGCTTGCCAAACCCACCCGAAGCGACAGCGCCGGATTCGAGGCAGGTTACTCTCCAAGGTGATCACTTCCTGATTCGTCGCCTCCATTACTTCATTCACTACCCCCCTTCCCCCCAGCCGCCCCAGTGACTGAGGTGGACACTATACCCCCGGCGCTGACCGCCACAGGGGAGTCACCCGCCTTCTGTGCACCCCTCTCCTGCAGCGCCGATGCACAGGAGAAAAGTTCCCCTCTCCTTACCAGCCCGGATGAGCAGATCCAGCTGGTTCGTGGGTCCCTCATGCAGAGACGTCGCCATGTTTATCCCGGGGCTGGAGCTGCTGCTTCACATTGACTTACACCGTGAGCAGCGGCGGCAGGGGAGGAGGCGGAACCCGCGGCCGGAGACACGCCGTGCGACCGACACACACTCACGCACTCGCACACACTCAGACGCCCGGATCCTTGCGCGTCCTCCGACAGGAAGCCGAGGCCGGCCCGCCTCCCGCCGCCGGGCTGAGAAACCCCACCACCTAACGGCAGGGGCGGCGGCGGCGGCCGCCTCCACTAGCAACGCGATCCTTCCGCCCCGCGCCCAGACAGGAAGTCCCGGACGCCTGCCCCGAGAGCGGCCCGGCCCGCGGCGAGGGACACCTGAGGCTGGAAATCGCCCCGGGGCCGCGGCCAGGAGAAGGCCCCTCGGCAGGAAGAGGCACATTTCACGCTCTGCGGAAGAAAAGTCTTCAATTGTCCTCAGTCTGGAAAAGAGCCATTAATCAAATTTTCTTCCTGGGAGAGATCTAATACCTAGTCCCGCAGCTGTAAATAAAGGTGACTATTTAACTTGTTTGGGCCGTTTCAAAGCTTGTGAAACATGTAACCCGCTCACTTGAAAGAGCTGCACTTTAAAACAGGAATACCAACCCAAAAAGTCATACCCACAAAATATTCTAAAAGCTTTGCTTGGAAAGTAAGTCTCTTCTAACTACTTTCAGAGACTGACTGCGTCCTTTTGACTGTGTTAAAGGTACACTGAACAGGCATTTATAAGTAAACAACAAAACGTGCCAACCTCTGGGAGATTAGATTATCCTTCACCAACTTGCTAGTCATGAAATTCTCGTGTCTTTTCATTACTATTTGATTCAACTGGAAACAAATACACGTATTCGTTTATATGGCATCATCTACTTTTAAAAATCTTTTGGATAGAAACTAACCTTATTACAAATAAGGTACATATTAAAATACAATAAAAGAGGGAACTATATTGCCATTCAGTGACTATACATTTATCGACAATACAGGAAATCAATAAAATGACCCAGATGAGGCTTCATTAAAACAGAAAAATTGCTTCCTTGGTTTCAGGATTTCATAATATAAAAAATGTTTGAAACAAAATTTGCCCTAAAGTTGTTCTTACATAAAATTTATGTAAAACGGTGCCTTCTACACAGTAAGTGCTCAATAACTATTTGCTGGAAAAACACCAAAAATTTTAAAACACCAGTTAAAATTTAATTTTTGTGATCTAAATTGAACTATGCGGATAATTCAGGGGGGAAAAGTTATTTTCCAGTGGCATTATTAATGCAATATCATTTTACAAACATTGCCCAACGTGTCACTGCAACTTCAGAATAAATTTACATAGCCCATGACTATTTTCACTTCTTTTAAATACTCATTTATTCTCTTGGTCCTTTCCCCTAGCCCTACCACCATGATCCTCATCATCCCAGTAAAGAAACTATAGCTATTCCCAAAGTACAACTCCCCTTAAATAAGGATCTCTTTCTTGCATTAGGTAAACTTGCCACCTATTGGACAAAAGGAACTATATGACTAGATTAGCTTTTCTTTTTTATTTCTAGTCAATTTAAAACAAGGACCATCCATTGATTGGCAGAATCTTAAACTGAGACAGCTTCCAGATCAGGGATGATAAGGAACACTACAGGGCATTGCTGGCTTTGGGCAGATCACTGAAATCATAACATCTGAATTTTTACTCCTATCAGATTTTCACGTACTGTACTTAGAAGAGAGTATTTAGAAGGAAAGAAAGTAAGCCGAAGATTTCTCTCTGGAGGTGACAGGTAAACTTGGCTCAAGGAGGAGCACTCTCCTCAATGTAGGAGTCAGTGGAAGTCTGATATAAAACTTTTACCTTACTATTTGCTTCTTGAGATATATCTGAAGAAGTGAATAGAGTGTGTGTGTGTGTGTGTGTGTGTGTATGTGTGTATTTTACTCTGTACATCTTAATTATATGTATCCATGTCAGCCTTATATTTCACATTCCAAGAGAACAGAAGCCGTATCTATTCGTTATTATATATGTATATATAAATATATATTATATATATAATATAATATAAAGTATTATATATGTATATATAATACTTTAGGTATTATATATACATATATAATACATATGTAAGTGTGTACAGTAATAGAAATTAATGCAGAAAGACTGGAAAATATTCCTATATATTTAAAGCTCTTGTAAAAACACAATTTCCTGGACTTCAATAAAATTCTGCCACGCTATTATAAATGGAATTCTGCCTTGCTACTCTAGGCTTTCAAAAACCACCAATACTTTTTAGAGACCAATAATACTATACTGGAAATAGCAAGTAAGCATAGGATGCTGCTGAAAATATAAATTGGTACAAACCTTCAGAAAAGCAATATGGCATTATATATCAAAAGTGTAAAAAAGGTTCATATATCCAGAAAATTCATTTCCAGACCTAGCCTGAGGAAACAATCAACACATTCAATGGATTGTTCTATTAAAAACGTGTTTGAAGAATTTTTAACAGCATGGTAAAATATTAAAAATATAAATGTGGCAGGATTTAATTATATATGTATTTCTTCCACACAATATAACTCAAACCATGTAGTGTATGTGAATATACACACATTTGCATTTCTCGAGTCTTCAGGATTAAGCAGGTATTAATAAACAGAATAAAAAATTGAGTAAGAATAGGTAGGTTAACATGGTAGATACTATAGAGCAAATTCATATTCTGCTAATAACATTACAGAAAGGAATCCCCTATATCAAAGTTATTGCTGTGTCCTAGCAGGAAAAAAATAAGGTAAATAGTGGCTAACTCTTATTGATATAAAAGCCACTAATGCTAAATGCTTTACCTTCACTTTTTTCACTTATTCCTCTCTATGTTCCTATGAAATAGATATTACTATTGTGCTCATTTTATAGATAAGGCATCTAAGGTCAGATAATGGGAAGCAGGGCCAGGATGTGAACCCAAGCACCTCTGATTCCAGAGCCCTTACTCTCAAACACACCAACCACCAATGTAACAAGACCTGTTTACCTGTTGTGATGCATTTAGTACCTATTGATTTTCTTGTCGGAAAATTCTTTATATTCCTCCCTTCAAGAGGTGGAACCTAATTCCCCTCTCCCTTTGAGTGTGAGCTGGACTTAATGGCTCACTTCCAACAAATAGAATAAAGCTGAACTGATGGCCTGACTTCAGAAACTCTCTGATCTCTTCCTTTTGTATCTCTCTCTCAGAGGAAGACAACTGCCATGTCCTAAATACACTCAAGTAACTATGGAGAGGCCCATTAGGCAAGGAACAATGGCATCCTGCTAACAGTCTCATAACAGAGCTATCTAAGAGACAGAACCTCCAGCCCTTAATCAAGCCTTCAGATGACTGCAGCTTCCCGAAAGAACCTGAGCTAGAATCATGCAGGTAAGCCACTCCCCAATCTTTAACCTCAAAAACTGTACAATATAATAAATGTTTGTTGTTTTAACCTGCTAAATTTGGGGTAAGTTGTTAATCAGCAAAAGAATACAGAAGGAAGGAGCAGTTTAAAATCCTAATTTGATTTACACACATGTGAAATACACATTTCACAGCTTAGATAAAGAAAGAAAAGGGTCAAGTTTGTAAATGTCCTCTAGCTTTCAACTACTGCTTCAGAGTCCTGAGCAGGTCTTTCTCTTTCTTAATTCTTTCAAGTCTGAGCATCAACTCTTTCATCCTCCAACCTCTCCATTTTGAAAATAAGTCTTCATAATATAATCATTATCATTAAAGTCTAATATAACCAAAAATAATTAGATACCCTTGCTATTTGAATAATTTTTATGGTCCTGTAGTAACCAAGACAGAAAAAGTTCTTGGGAGATAAATATACATACAATTGTTTCCAATACCACATAGGACTTCAATGGTTTTATTTTTAGCTACTCCTGGTGATTTCATTCGTGTTTTCCCTTTCTCTAGAACACAGAATCATAAAATGTTATGGTTGGAAAGGAGCCTAGTGACAACATCACCTAGAGGTTTTCAAAAAATAAGGAACCTACACATCTTGATCTCCTTTCCTGACTACCATGAATGAGGTACAAAGTGTGATAAAAAAAATACAGTAAATGTTTAAATAAAAAATTTTTTTTTACAGTAAAAGACACATTGCCATTAATTTCCCTCACTTCAAACACACTTATCCCATGGTTCTTGCCACTTTCTGAAGCAGTTCTGGAAGTCCTCTTTCATGAGTATCTTTCCTCGCACTGTCCTGGCTGCCTTGATATTTGAATCGATTAAAAACATTTTCCTTTCATGGTCATTTTGACTTTGGGGAAGAACCAGAAGTCACACAGTGCCAGATCCAGTGAATAAGGTGGATGAGGACACACCATAATGTTTTTTGTTTGTTTGTTTGTTTGTTTGTTTGTTTTTAAAGATTTTTATTGGGGAATTGGGGGATGGGAACAGTGCTGGGGAATTGGGGGAAGGGGAACAGACAAGTTGCTGTCCTTTTGTTCTTCAGTTCTAGTTGTGGAGGACGTTGCTTCACTGGCCCAAGTTGGCACCATCATTGCGCCCTACCGGCTTCTGGACGGCCGCTCACTGCGGCTGCTGGCCGCTCACGCTGGCTGATGGCTACATACAGTAGCCCATGGCAACCCACTGCCACAGGGGCTGCAGCCTACGCCGTCGCCAGCGACTCACGGCAGCCCAGCTCCAGGTTGAGCTGTTGTTCAGCATCTTAGCTGTGGAGGGCAGTGTCACTGGCCCTCATATGTGGGATCCGAACCGGGGCCCTCTGGCGTCCCAAGCCAGTTCTTAACCATCGCGCCACTCGGCCGGCCCCATAATGTTTTTATTTGACAGAAATTGCCGTACCAGAAGCAATGTGTGACACGGAGCCTTTTTGTTGTGATCACAAAATACAGTGAATGCTGCTGCCACATGCCATCCAACGGAAAGGCAGAGACCTTCAATATGGAACAGCACGTTGAACCTCAGTAACAGTGTATGACAAGTTTCAGTTTGTTCAGTGCAGTCAGTCGGGTCAAAGTTTCGGATGAGAGAAGGTGTGTTTTAAAGTGTGCCCTAAATCATCCTCCATCATGACAATGCTCTGTGTCATATATCACTTCTGGTATATGGCAATTTCTATCAAATAAAAATATTACGGTGTGTCCTCATCCACCTTATCTGGCACTGTGAGACTTCTGGCTCTTATCCAAAGTCAAAATGATTCAGGACATCGAAGCAGCCAGGACAGTTCAACTAAAAACACTCACAAAAGAGTGCTTCCAGGGCTGGCCGAGTGGCTCAGTTGGTTAAGAGTTAGCTTAACAGCGCGAGCTCTGAGCAGCAGAGCCGCCAGTTCGATTCCCACATGGACCAGTGACGCTGCGTCCGAAATGAGCTGCCACTTAACTGCCAGCAGGTGGCAGGATGGCTCAGCTGGTGAGAGCACATGCTCCTAACAAGACTGCCTGTTTGATGGTAGGCTATGCCCGCCTGCAACTAAGACTGAACTCGGCACCTTGAGCTGAGCTGCCTTCTGGATGGCTCAGTGGATAGAGCGTGCGCTCTTAACAACAAGGCTGCTGGTTCGACTCCCACAAGGGATGGTGGCTACACCCACCTGCAACTAAGATTGAACACAGCACCTTGAGCTTAGAGGCCACAAGCTGCCAACGGACAGCCAGATGGTGACTGGCGCCCTCCACAACGAAGACTGAAGAACAACTTGGCTGGTCCTCTTCCCCAATTCACCAACACCGTTCCCCTCCCCCAATTCCCCAATTTAAAAAAAAAAAAAAAAGAGGACTTCCAGAACTGCTTCAGAAAGCGGCAAGAATAATGGAATAAGTGTGTTCAAAGTGAGGGGGAGTATTTTGAGGGGGCAATATGTCTTTTACTGAAATAAATTTTTTTATATTTAAACATTCACCATATTGTTTGATCACACATCACATATTACACTTTAAAAACCAAACAGAATTGTGTGCTCTATCAAGGCTTTAAAGTTCTTTAAAAAAACAAAAACAATTATAGGTAGGAATCAAAGGGAGGAGAGATTCTATCCATTAATGTTATCATTTCATAATTTGGGAGAAGGATGCCAATTTCCTATTTTGGTAATAACAGCTCTTAACATGGATTTAATGCCCTCATTTTATAGCTCAGGAAACTGAGGACCCAAAAGTTATAAATATTTTGACCAAAGTCACACAGTATGTATGATTTCAAGGTTGAAAATTCTACAAAACAATCTTTATCTGTAAAACTTAGAAGTTATAAAATGGATGAAAGTTAAATCCATTTTACTATTATATTTATGAACTGTAATTGGCAAAATGGTGTTTTGTTTTGTTTTAATTGAGTAATTGGGGGAGGGGAACAGTGTTGGGGAGGAGGAACAGCCAAGTTGTTGTTGTTCTTAGTTTTTCTTAGTCTTAGTTTTTTGGAGGATGCCAGTCACCATCTGGCTGCCCGTCGGCAGCTCATGGTCTCTAAGCTCAAGGTGCTGTGTTCAGTCTTAGTTGCAGGTGGGCGTAGCCACCTTCCCATGCGGGAGTCAAACCAGCAGCCTTGTTGTTAAGAGTGCATGCTTTATCCACTGAGCCATCTGGGCGGCAGCTCAGCTCAAGGTGCCGAGTTCAGTCTTAGTTGCAGGTGGGCATAGCCCACCATCGAACAGGCAATCTTGTTGTTATACCAGCTGAGCCATCCTGCCACCTGTTGGCAGCTCAGCAGCAGCTCAGCTCGGGCGCAGTGTCACTGGCCCATGTGGGAATCAAACTGGCGGCCCTGTTGCTCAGAGCTAGTGCTCTTAAGCTAACTCTTAACCAACTGAGCCACTAGACCAGCCCTGATGTTTTGCTTTTTTAATGTCAAAAGCTAAAGCAACGGTTAAGTGTCTTTCTGAGAAATGAAGGGGAAAACAAATTTGAGCAGTGAATGGTGGGAGAACAATAAGAGAAGGCCAGACAGTCTAAACTTTTCTAATACAACAGAACTAACAATGAAATTCAAAGCTGGGGTGTGGTGTGTTGGGAATGTTTAGGAGAAAAAAAGGATCAAGAAAACTAAGCTGTAAGAAAAATGTCCATCAAAGGACAACAAGCTGAAATCAAGCGATTTAGGACCATTAAGTAAAGCCTGGTTCACCAATATTGGAAGGTAGACAATACAAATAGGAATGCAGTCTATAGATTTATTTTACAAAGAGAAAAAATGAATTATCTCGTATGTTTTATACTACTGTTTAATTCTCTATTTATAATTTTTATACTACTGTTTTATTTAATGGTCAGATTTTATAAAATATTATTAAATATTAAAATGAAGATGTTTAAACACATAATCACATATTCATTTATTCAACAAATAATTATCCAGCTCTTACTTTGAGTAAGTTTCTGTTGTAGGCACCTATTACTACACCTGGTAGCACAAACAATGTGACAAAAAAAAAATTAAGCCTTTTCAATTCACACAGAAGCCCTACTAAGGGTGAATTTCTTAGACACAGTATGATACACAAAATTGCTTATATGTGAAGCTAGAGAATAGTGGGTATATGCTACATTTTGGACTACCACTCAGGAAAGTTAAAGTATATACATAAAAGCCTTTATAAGACATGGATTTTTAATAGGGGTCAGAAAAAGATAAAATTTTGTTAGCGAAATATACATTTTTCTGAGGAGGGCCATGACTATTTTAAGATTCTCAAATCGGTCCATGACTCCCCAAAGTTATTTTATCTAAGTTATCTTGCCATATGCATTTATGGACCATGAAAACCCTATGATGAGTAAGGATCCAGTATGTGCCGTTTTTGAGGCTGATAATTTGGCTTAGGTTCATATTTTCTGCATTTTATTTAAATTATCCCTGGGCCAGACTCTCCTTGAGCTTACTGATTCTTCACTTAATAGTTTATAATAGGCAAAACACTGCTTCCAATTCTTAGCAGCCACTCCTAGAGATGGTCATCCCAGGCAAGAAATCTGTGTTCCTAGTTTAGGAACTCAGCTCCTACAATTTTTAAGAGGGATTTAAAACATACATGAAATTTCTAAAAATAATATAACAAATAGCTATATTTCCACTACACGGAAACAACTGTTATCATGTTGCTATTTATGCTTGAAGGTTTGTTTCTTACCTAAGAAATAGCATACTACAGGTGAAGATAGCATCTTTGACTACTACCTCCGGTCCTCCATTCACCATTCTATCTCCCCCAAAGAAACCACTGACATGAGGTTTGTGTATAATCTTCCAGTCTATTTTTTATACTTTTATGTTTTTGTGTGTATATATATTTATGTGTGCGTGTGTGTGTGTTTGTCCCAAAATGATATATAGCATTATTTTGCATGCTGTAGGTACATAAATGACATTATTATATATGCCATTCTAAAATTTACTTTTTTCATTCAAGATGTACATTCTATCTATGTTGGTATAAGTAAATATAGCTATGCTTTTTAGATGCTACAGAGTATTCCAGTGCATGAATTTACCCCATTTTATTCATTGAATTATCTACTAGGAAAATAAAATTGCTTCCATTTTTCACTTTTGTAAACAATGCTGCTAAAAATTCTTATCTATATTTTCTTAAGCATGTATGCTAGAGTCTCTCCACAGTATGTACCTACAAATAGAAATTTTAGGTAACAGAATAAGTGCACTTTTGATTTTATATGTTACGCTCTCCAAAATAGCTGCATAAGTCTAAAATCCTACTAATGATATGTTAGAGTTCCCATTTTTCTCACATTCTTGTCAATAAAAGATAAAATCAGACTTTAAAGATTTTGCCATCTGTTATGTGACAAGAAAATTTTCACTGCTGTATTAATTTGCATATACTTAGTAAGTACTGAGGACATTTTTTCATATACTTATTAGCCATTAACATTTCCCCTATGACTTGTCTATTGATATCCTTTGTTACTTTTCGGTGATACCTTTTGCCTTACTGGACTATAAAATGTTAACAGATTCTAGGTAATAATTCAGATATGTGCCTCAAATATCTTCTGCCAGCCTGCTGTCTGACTTTTAATTTGGTTGGTCTATAGTATCTTCTATCCTACAAAAATTTTAAATTTTGATATAGTCAAATTAATATGAGTTTTCCATTACAGTATATGTTAAACTGTCCTTGAAATAAAAAGGAAATCGTAAAGTAATTAAGAAATATTTAGAAATGCATTACAATAAAAATACAACATGTCAAACTATGTGTGACACACCTAAAATAGTACTTAGAAGTCAGGAAATGAAAAAGTTTAAAAATAAACAAACACAGCACATTCAATTCTTAAAGGTGGAAAAATTAACAGAACAAACACAATGAAACAAGAAGGAAGGAAATAATGAAGAGCAGGAAAAATGAAATAAGAATCTATAATTTTAAAAAATAGAGGAGATTCGCAAAACCAAATGATAATTTTGAAAAGATGAAAAAAACAGATGGATATTTGCAAGAGTTATCAAGAAAAGGTGCAAATGTAATGCAGAACTAAAGGGGAGAAATAACTACAAATACAATAGATACAGAAATCAAGATTGAAAGCTGCGACAGGACTTGGAGCTGAACCTGCGTCAACCACAACTAAGACTGAAGGACAACAACTTGACTTGGAGCTGATGGGTCCTGGAAAAACACAATGTCCCCTTCCCCAATTCCCCAACACTGTTCCTTTCCCCAATTCTCCAATAAAAGCTTAAAAAAAAAATCCACAGCTAACTTTGTTTAAAAAAAAAAAAAGAAATGTAGTCCAAAACCTCTCCACAAAATAAAATCCCTTATGTGTCCCTGTAGGCAAAGTTTAGCAAATTTTAAAATTAATTCTTATAGAAACTGTTGCAGAAAGTAGAAGAGAATAATAAATGAAAGCAACCTGAGTTGTTTATGAGCCTAGTGTAATCTTCATTCCAAAACCAGATAAGGATAATATAAGAAAAGAAAATTATAGTCCTATTTAACTTATGAAAGGTCCTCAACTTAAAGCAAACCAAAGCAAAATGAGCAATATGTATTCTCAAACACAAGGAGAGTTCAATGTCCAAGAATCTGTCAATTAACTGACCACATTAATAAAGGAGAAAAATCATGACTTACCAAAGAATGCCAAGAAAGCATCTGACTGGACTCCATACTTACAGGTGTAATACCAAAACAAACAGAAAGGAATAGATGGGAATTCCTTAACTTGGCACATAGTATATACTAAAACCAACGACAAACACTGAACTTCAAGTTTAAACTTCAGATATACTCCCTTCAAGATGGGGAACAAAACAGGGATGCCAGTTAGTATCACATGATGTTCCTGTCCCACATCAAAAGAAAAGTAAAGGAAATATGATGACCAGAAAGAAGACAGGAGGAGGGCTGAGCTGTGCTAGCTGAGGTCTTCCTAGACCAGAAAGCTCCCTGCTGATCCACAGAAGACCACAGGAGAGTATGCCCAGCCTGTCTCAGTAAAACCATATAGCTAACCCATAGGCTCAGGAGAAACAATAACTGGTTCTTGTTTTAAGCCAATAAATTTTAGGGCGGTTTGTTCCACAGCAGTAGTTGAAACAAGAAAGGTGTGATGAGTATCCATTATTGGGCAAGCAGAAGTGTACAATGTTGTACATGTCTATCATGGAATATTGTGCAGCCGTTAGAAACAACAGATTAAATATATACAAAGCAAAATGCATGGATATTAAGAACTGTACTTACTAAGAAAAAGTATGAAACCAAGTGAGACACATAATACTTATGTATACACAAGTAAATTTTAAATATATACAACAGAATATACATCCCCAATACACTAAAACAAAATGCCCATTAATCAAATGAGATTTTATGATTATGAGGAAGATAGGATCATTGTATAAATAAAAATAAAGAGGAATAAATAAATCAACTGAAAAACTAAATAAAACAAGAGGATATGAAATAGGAATCTAAATTTTACTTTATATAAAAAGCCAACTATCTTAATACAATTTATTGAACAGTCCACCCCTTTCCACTGATTTATAAATCCACGTCTATTATATTCTAGGTATAAATAATAGGTCTGACAATCAAGTTTGCAAACGATATTGCTAACCTTTTTTTAATATCAGAGGATTATTCATTATGAATTTATATGAACTAGACAAACAGTTAACCAAGTTTACTATCTGGAAGTGCTGGAAAGGCTGCATAAAAAAGTTAGACAAAACGACCTGAACTTTTCGCCAACAATTCATTGCATCACGACAATGCACCAGCTCACACAGCATTGTCTGTGAGGGAGTTTTTAGCCAGTAAACAAGTTAACTGTATTGCAACACCCTCCCTACTCACGTGATCTGGCCCCCAATGACTTCTTTCTTTACCCAAAAATCAAGGAAATATTGAAAGGAAGACATTTTGATGACATTCAGGGCATCAAGGGTAATACGACGACAGCTCTGATGGCCATTCCCGAAAAAAGAGTTCCAAACTTGCTCTGAAGTGTGGACTAGGCACTGGTGTTGGTGCATAGCTTCCCAAGGGGAGTACTTCGAAGGTGACCGTAGTTATATTCAACAATGAGGTATGTAGCACTTTTTCTAGGATGAGTATGGGAACTTAATTGTCATATACTTACTCTGATCTGGGCTTTCTATTCCTACTAAACCATTTGTATGTGGGCCAATAACACATTTTAAAATTGTATGTAGCTTTAGAATCATTGTTTATGGATAGGAGGGCAAGTACCTCACACTTTGTTCTTTTGCAGAATTATCTAGACTATTTTTGAATCTTTAAGAGTTTGTCAAATTACACCAAAAACAAGCCCTCTTAGGATTTTGACCAGAATTGTACTGAATTTATAGAATTGTGGGTTAAAGAGGAAAGAAACCAAATGGTTTTGGTCTGTTAATGTTTTTTATTTCTTAAGTAAGCTATATATCTATTTATGCCCCTCAATAAAGTTAAATTCTTGTTTTCATAATGGTCTTGCATATTATTGTTAGATTTATTCCTAAATAACTAATTAAGTTTTTTACTATTATAAATGGGATTTTTTGGTTTCATTTTTTTATTATTGGTATTTTATACAGCAAACCTGATGAACCTTTGGGTTTTAAAATCTATATACTCTCTTAAATTTTGTTAATTAAACCATCTGCAAACTATTTTCTTTCTTTTTGATCTTTATGCCTTTTTTTTGTCTTATTTGCATTTGCTAGGAACACCAATAATAATGCTAATCAGTAATAATGAAAGCTGGCATTGTTTCCCCATTAATTATATTTGCTATAGATTTTTAATATATACCCCTTATCAAGTCCCAATCCAGATTAAGTCTTTATCCTCAGAAGATGGTGAATTTTAACAAATGCTTTTTGGATCTAATGAGATGATTATATTGGTTTTCTCCTTTAATCTATTCATGTGGTGAATTACATTAATAGAATTTCTAATATTTATTCTTCCTTGCCTTTCTAGTATGTATTTTGTCGTTATGATTTTGTAAATCAGTGCTTGATTTAGTATTTTTTATTTAGAATACTTGTAGCTATGATAATACACAAATTCAACAGGAAGTTTTCTTTTTTATACTGTATCAGTTTTAAGGTTAAGATAATACTAGCATCATAAAATGAGTTGGAAAGCTTTCCCTCTTTTAATATTTTCTATTAGAGTTTATATATGCTAGGGATTATGTAGCCCTTGAAATTTTAGTAATAGATCTAGATCTTGTTTGAATGAGGGAATGCACATGTGAAGTTAAAGAACTTAAATGGTTATTGATCTGTTTAGGTTTTCTATTCTTTGGGGGGGNGTGTGTGTGTGTGTGTGTGTGTGTGTGTGTGTGTGTGTGTGTGTGTGTACTTATATTTAATTGTCAACTCCATAGGTTTTCAAATTCCTTGGCAGTAGGTTGGTCACAGTATTCTCTTACGATTTTTAAATTCCATTATGTTGGACATATTTTTGTTCTTCATAGCACTCATTTTTCCTTGATCTGTCTTTACAGAGGGTTATCCATTTTTGTTAATTTTATGGTTTCATTAATGATGTATTCTGTTTTATTTTCTATTTCATTAATATTGACTTTTATTATCTTTATTATTTCCTTTCTTCTACTTAATCTGGATTTATTCTGTTAGTCCTTTATTAACATCTGGCATTGAACATATGGTCATTTTATCAATCTTCCTTATTTTTCAAAAACTGCATTTAGAGCTAAGAAATTTCCAGTGAGTTGTGCTCAAGTCACATCTCAAATCTTTATATTCAATGCTTTCATTGTTTTTAGCTGCAAATATTTTATAATTTTCTTTTCTTCCTTCATCCACTCATTAGTGAGTTTTTAGTTGCCAATATTATAAAGTATTTTGATTCCTTTCATTGTTGATTTCTACTTTTACTGCATTATGATGAAATAATATATTTTGAATGATATTGATGTTTCTGACATTGTTGAGATTCCTCTATGTCCTAGTACACAGTTAAAAGCTGACCTATAGATAACTGGGAAAGATTGTATTATACAAGGTTGTATTTTATTAGGTTAGGTACAATGTTCTATATAGCTTCAGTTTATGAAAGTTGTCAGTCCTGTGGTTCAGTTCTTTGATGCCATTTTTAATTTTGTGTGTGCTTGATTTTTCAGTTTTGACAGAGATGTGTTAAAGTCCCAATATTTTGTAGACATGTGCACTTCTTTCTGCAGTTCTGAAAGTTTTTATTTAAATGGTATTTCAAGGCTGTGTTGTTAGATGCATATAAGTTTAGGATGATTATATTTTCTGGATTGTTCATTTAGCAGTTTGAAGAGTCTATGTCAAATTGAAGATTTTCACTCTAAATTCGATTTTATTACACCAGCTCCTTTGGTTAGCATTTTTCTAATGAATTTATTTTCCATTCATTTTAATTTTGTTTTGTGCATCTGTTAAAAATAGTCCAGCCTCGTGTTAAGATCACAGGTGATTTTAATATAATTTCTGATGTTTTTTACTTATTTCTACTATCTTGATTTATGATTTATATTTCCATAGTTTTTTTGGGGGAAAAAAACTTTTGTTGCCTTTGTTAAATTGGTCAAGTTTAGTTTATTCCCTAACCTACCATCCAACTTAGTATTTTGGAAGCTATACCTTCTATTTCTATTATTTTAGTATGTTCTAGTTACTTAAAATAAATGTCCTTCTTTTCACTTCTCATCTTCTGCAGATCATGTTTCGCACAGCTCCTATGATGTTCAAGGGCCACCAAATCTGCTTCCACTCCATCTTTCTTGCCTCTCTCTCTCAACCATGTCCCATAAGCCTAATCCCTAAACAACATTGTTTGTCAGTCTCCAAATAAAATACAAAATTCTTGGCATTCTGTTCTGGTTCATGCTGTCTTCTTATTCACTCACTCATTCAACAAATACTTTATTGAAAACCTACTTGGTGTCTGGCCCGGAGCAATACCAGTGAACACAATGGATATGGTCTCTGGCTTTATGAAGCATGTTGGAAACATTAAACAAATAAACACAAATGTAAATAGAATAGAATAAAACTTCATGAATACATGAACTCAGGTAAGTTAACTGGTAACTAACTGACTCTCATCTTCCACTCTGTCCTCAAACAGCAGTCACTGTAGTACCCAAATACCACCAGGTGGCACCAAACCACAGCCCAGACCTTAGACTGATTTGGTTCCTGAGTTTGAACCCTGGAACCCATTGCCCTCACACACACACACTTCTTTCACATAGACAGACTCGGGTCATTTATTAAACTCACAATAATGCCATATTTTATGCGATTTGAATTTTTTTGAAATTACTTACTACCTTTATCATGGGCGTTTACTGTATCATAAGTTATAGGTGCTAACCAAAAAAACAGAACAGTCCTAACTGAGATGGAAGAGTATCAGTTAAAGCCTGCACGTCCCTCTCTTTCTCTCCACCCCCTCCTTCTCTCTGAGAAAGTGGCACTCAAACTGAGCTCTAAAGGTTGACCAGGAATTAGAAGCTGAAAAATGAAAAGCATTATGTTCCAGAAAGAAAACAGCATATTTGAGTGCCCTGTGAAGTATGGATTAATGGAAAAGGTGAAAAGGTAACAGCTGTATGTTGGGAGGGCGGGCAGGAGGGCGGCAGCGGGAATGATATAATTCATCAGAGTATATAATACTTAAGAGCTTGGCTTGGGCTCTGGAGCCCTACTTACTATCTGAGTTTAAATCCTTGCTTCACCACTTAAACAGCCTTGGGAAGATGATTCAGCCTAGGGTTGTTGAGAGTATTAAATATGTTAATATGGAAAACCCTACAAAATATTCCTGACAATATGGTAAAGAAATTTTAAATGTTAGGGTTTTGGTTTTTTGTTTTTTGTTTTTCAAGCTGAGCCATCCTGCCACCTGTTGGAGGGTTTTGTTTTTGTTGCTATTATTATTGTTGTTTCTAGATAGATGAGAAGACCCAAATTATTTAGTGTCTTGAAGGCCATGTTAAAAATCCTGGGCCGGCCGAGTGGCGCATTGGTTAAGAGCTGGCTTGGAATGCCAGAGGGCCCTGGTTCGGATCCCACATAGGAGGGCCAGTGACACTGCCCTCCACAGCTAAGATGCTGAACAACAGCTCAACCTGGAGCTGGGCTGCCATGAGTCGCCAGCGACGGCGTAGGCTGCAGCCCCTGTGGCAGTGGGTTGCCATGGGCTACCACCGTATGTAGCCAGCAGCCGGCGTGAGCGGCCAGCAGCCGCAGTGAGCAGCCGGCCAGAAGCCGGCGACTGATCTGCCTCGCCCGGGAAGAGCGCAATGATGGTGCCAACTTGGGCCAGTGAAGCAACGTCCTCCACAACTAGACTGAAGAACAAAAGGACAGCAACTTGTCTGTTCCCCTTCCCCTAATTCCCCAGTGCTGTTCCCATACCCCCAATTTCCCAATAAAAAAAAAAAAATAAAGAAAAAAAATTAAAACATTTAATTGTTTTGTCCTTTTAAGTAGTATATGTATTTTGGCTGATTTACAAAGTGAAAAGAAATCAAACATCCAGTTTTGACCAAACACTGACCTTAAACTTGGAGAAGGTGGAAACCTGGTACTCTATCTTAATAATGTCTAATGGGAAGAGAGGAAACAGGTAACATTTTTTCTTCCTTTGATAATATTCAATGAAGAAAATTACAGAAATGTAAAAAAAGTTAGTCCTATCTCACCTCCTAATCCCACTCCCAAACTGTAACTAACCACTGCAAACAGCGTGAGTTCTTAGCACTGTCCCTGACTTTTTGTGAATGGGAAAAAGAAGTGGCTCGTGTTTTTGATGTTACTGTTTCCACACATAAAAAAATAAAAATGGTGATATTTAGGGATGCTTAATTCTATTTAACTTGCTCCTCTGCCCTTAACCCAGAGGCCTTAACTATCGACTATGCCCTATGATGAAATTTAAATATGACCCACCACTGTAGCACTAGTGCAATCTGGAACCTTTATTTAGATTATTAGCTACTATACTTGGCAATTCTTTGTCTTTCCTCACCTTTCTCCAACCCTACCTAACTCCATACTATTATTTCCTTGAATGCTTGTTTTTTTTCAACTTAGTTGGTAAGCTTCTTTGAGGCCAGGCACTGCATCTCACTCAACTTTGAATCACTTACTTCCTAGGAGCTATGATAGTACTTTGTATGTAATAAGTACTTTGCACATTATAAATATTAAGTTTATCAGTCTCAACTGTACTGACTGTCATATGGAGGAAAAGGAGGGAGAATTTATCTGCTGCTACAAATGCTTAAAAAATAAATGATTCATGGGTTTATTACTTTAGTGTAATTGTAAATATTAACTCTCAGTACAATTTCAGGAGTTAACTGATGAAACCTGATTTGTGACAAAGCAGTTTTACAGTATGGAGAGCTTATACGCTTTCTCCGCTAAATTGAAGCACCATAAATGCAGAGACATTGCCTGCCTCGTCTAGCCCCATCCCTTAAATAGAGCCTGGCATATAGTAGATGCTCAATGAATGTTTGCTGATGAATTAATAGTGGTAATGCATTATATCATCTCATATAAACCTGAAAGTTTTAGTATCTTTTCACCCCCAATATCAATCTTTAGTTTATAGGCATGATACAACATAGTAAGAAACCACAGTATTGAGTTTTCACAATGGCAGCAGCTCTCTTTTTGTGCTATCATTCCCAACAGTAGGTAATGGTTCTCAAAGGATGATCCCTGGGCCAACAGCATCACCTCAGCTGAGGACTTGTTAAAAGTACCAATTCCTGAGTTTCACTGAATCAAAAACTCTGCAGGCAGGGCCCAGCAATTTGTATTTTAACATGATTCTGATCTAGGCTCAAGTTTGAGGGCCACTGCCACAGAAATTTCTGTCATGGAAATAGAAGGGATCTCAAACCAACAAAGAGGTCATAAAATATTACATAAGCCTTTAAAGAAATATACTAAATGTTCAACGTAAGAATGTTTTAGAATTTAAATTAAGTCAATTAAGGGACAAGAAAAACTACAACTACCTAGTTGGGAGGCTTTTTTTTCCTTAGCAGGGAGGGATCCTAAAACTGTATTCAATAAATGACATTTAAAGTGGCTTTCAGATCCCTACTATGAGTTCATGTTTGGGAAAAGAAAACAGAAGTAGGGCAGAAGATGGAGGAGGAAAGGATGACGAAAAGGTGGATGACAGCTAAAATAATACAATGAGACCTGGGAAAATTGCTTTTTAGGTTCTAACTGAAATTTAACACTTTAATTTTATTTTTGTTTTTGTTTTGTTTTTTGTTTCTTTTTGGTGCTCCAAGTGAGGAGCACTTTAATTTTAAATAAAGGTCCAAACCATAGTAGGTTTGGCAGTATCTGTGGGCTTTGACCAAAACAAATCAAATATTTTCATATCATATTATAGTTTACAGATATCTCAAAATATAATTTATAGTGGTCACTACTTTGAAATTACAGCAGTCTGTTAGATCTCAGCTAGATCTCATTATTTAATGCATTATTAACGAAGCATATGCCTTAATATATCACAACTAAAAATAGTCCGAAAGCTGCTTTTCAATACATTTGGTTCCTTGGTAATACCAGGTATTTTATATATTTTAAAAAAGTGATCTGGGAGAAGGTCCACAGGTTTCACCATATGGCCAAGAGGTCCATGACACAAAAAGATTTTTTAAAACCACACAAAAATTAACAGTTAATACCTGGGTTAAAAGCATTCATGGGGGGCCGGCCGAGAGGCACGTTGGTTAAGAACTGGGTGGGGTGTCAGGTGGTCACATGTCTTGCTAGGGAGACCACATCATGGATGGGGAAGAGGCTTGATCACTGCACTGTACACCTGAAGCTGATGTTGTATAATATTGTAAGTCAACTATAAGTGAATATATA